TTGTTGTTTGTTTTGGTCTTTTTGAGACATGATCTCCCTGTAGCCCCAGCTGTCCTGGAACTATGCAGACCAGGCTGGCCTTGAACTCACAGATCTGCCTCCTGATTGCTGGGATTAAAGGCATGCACCATCACGCCTGGCCATTCCTGTGTTTTTTAAAATTTTCCATACTCTTTGCTTGAGTGGTCCAGTTCTTCAACTTTATCCTCCAGTGTTGATATTCTGTTTTCCATTCCATTCATTTTAGAGGTGAGGCTTTCCCCTGTTGTTTCAAGTTGGCTTATTGAGTTTTGCACTTCCTTCTTCATTTCTGCCTGAGTTTTCTTCAATGTTTCTGTCTCTTTTGTGAATTCATTCAGAAGTTTATCCGTCTTTTTAGTTCTTTGATTTGTTTGTTCACGTGTTCTTTAAATTCATTGAATTCCTTGATCATGTTTATGACTGTTCTTTTAAATTCTGTGTCCTGGGTTATCTCTAGGGGGTTCTCTTTGTAGAACTCTTCTACAGGACTGGTGGAGTTTGGTGGGGACATAGTGTTTTGGCTTTCCATTTTATTATTCTTTTGTTGTGAGTTTGACATGTGAATTTCTTTTGTTGTTTATGATTCTGATATGAGAGTTAAGCTGAAGCCTGTTTCTGTTTGTATTATCGGGTGCCTGGGTCCTTTCCTTATTGGTTATGTAAGGCTGGTTGGTACAGGTTTCAGATTCTCTCAGGTTTTATTTTGGAGGGAACTGATGGCTTCAGATCAACTATTCAGGAGCACCCACAGAAGCCCAAGTCAGGTTCCAGTGAGGTACACTCAGGCTTCCTTCTAAGGTTTGGACCCCTATCAGCAGGAGCTCAGAGAAAATTTGGTCAACTCCCTAAGGGGAAGGGGAGATTTTGGGACTCTCCGTTGGTCTGCTGTGTTCTCAGCCCCTATGCCAGAGGGAGGCCAGAACCCAGCACTCTCTGGCAGTATGCTGAGATCATAGCCACTAGACACTACACCAATGGAGGTCAGAGTCCACCCTCTCAGGCTGTCTGCTAGGATCTCAGCCTTAGCCTACCAAAGCCAGGTCTGCCCTGGGGCCTTGGGAGGGGCCTCACAAAATCCTAGGTAGGGGGATGGTATGGCGCAATTAGGGAAGGCGCACTACCACCTGGATGGAGATCCAGGTGCTCTCGGGCAATCTCCTCATGTAAAAAAAATTTTAAGTGACTGTGGTAATGGATGCATGTCAGTGAGTATGCCAGAAACCAATAAATTATACGCTTTAAATTGGTGCATTTTATTGTCTATAAAACCTCAATAAAGTTACCTTTAAAAAGTATAAAGATGAGCTCAGCATGGTGGCACTCGCCTTTAATCCCAGCACTCAGGAGGCAGAGGCAGGCAGACCTCGTGAGTTCAAGGCTCAACGATTAAAAGCACTGGCTGCTCTTGAAGAGGACCTGGGTTTGATTCCCAGCGCCCACATGGCAACTAAGAACCGTCTGTAACTCCAGTTCCAGGAGATCCAATGCCCTCTTCTGACCTCTGTGGGCATGGCACGACACAGGTGTACTTACATGTATGCAGGCAATATACTCATACACATAAAATTTTAAAAAATAAAAAGTAGGAAAATGGAAAAGGAAATATGAATATATTTTTCTTCTGTTTAAAAAGAAATAAAACTAATAGAGACTAGAGAGATGGCTCCATGGTTAAGAACACCGGCTGTTCTTGCAGAAGACCCGGGTTCAAATCCAGCACCCACACGGCATTTAACAACTATCCATGACTCCAGTTCCAGGCACTCTCAAGGCATCTTCTGTACTGTGGGCATTGCATGATGTGGACTCACTTAAACAAATGCAGGCATAACACTCACACAAAATAAATATAATAAAACTTTTTTTCTTTTTTTAATGGAAATTTACCTTAATTTAATTTATTTGGTCTTTTTTTTTTTTTTTTTTTTTTTTTTTTTTTTTTAAAAAACCCCCCCATTTTTTTTGTCTTTGGGGGTATTGCCCGCATGTCTATGTAGACCAGGCTGGCCTTGAATCCACAGAGATCTGCCTGCCTCTGCCTCCCGAGTGCTGAGACTACAGGTGCGCGCCACCATGCCCGGCTATAAAATATATTTTAAAAAGAAATAAAACTGGGGCTGGAGAGATGGCTCAGGGTTAAGAACACTGGTTGTTCTTGTAGAAGACCTGGGTTCGAATCCCAGCACCCACATGGCAGCTAATAACTGTCTGTAACTCCAGTTCCAGGGATCCAACAGCCTCTCTGTCCTCCTCGGGCATTGCATGATACGGGTGCACTTCATAAAATAAAAATAATAAATAAAATATTAAAAAAAGAAAGAAAACCAATAAAGACAGTAACTTTTCTGAGGGAGAGAAGAGCAGGCACAGGAAGTGTAAATGGGCAGGTTTCTCCGGATAGATCTTTGATAATTTTGACTTTAGAACGAAGAAAAATTTTTTTAAAACAAAAATCAACAGTGGCTGGAAGTGGAAGTGAATGGACCTGCTTGCTAATTGTCTGTTCCACCCCCTGCAGCACTGATGTGGGTGCTGCTCTGCAATGGTATGTACTGAGGATGAAGAGTGGATGCACTTTAATGTCACTGAGGTTTTCAGTGTGAAGAGATAAAACACAAGACTAAGAGTTCAAACCCCCTTTTCTTTTTTATTTAATTCTGTTAATTTGAATTGGAAATAGTGGCATAAACTTCATACCTTGACAGGGTTTCTCTGTATAGCCCAGGCTGGCCTCAAGCTTGTGATCCTCCTGCCTCAGTCTTCCAAGTGCTGGGATTGCTCGCTTAATTTTTTTTAAGTCTAATTTCCTAGGACTGTCTACTGGAAAGGCCTGAGGCAGGACAGCTCCAGAGGACTGCGGGCTCCAGATTGGTTTCCGTGGAACGAAGGGAAATGACTGATTCAGAGACCAAATCAGGATATAGACCCAAGTCCAGCACCCACTGTGTAAGACAGAAGAAATCAGTGGGCCTGTCTGCTAACCTGAAAAGAGTTTCCATTAGGCAAAGAGGTACAACTTGAGACCAAGAAAATTCATGGAAGCAACGACTTAGAGCCTCTAGAGATAGTTCTGAGAGCACCACGATATTCAAAAAGAAAGCTTTCTCTTTTTTTTAGCTTTAGACCTTAGAGCTTGCTGGGCTCCACCTTAGGCTACAATCATGCAAATAGAGAAAAAGTCAAGCATTTATCCTGTCCTGCCAGGGTGGAACATTTTCCTGGGTACCCAAGAGATGAATGAGGCGGGAGGAAAAGATGTGCACAATAACTAGGGCGACTTATTTGGGAAACACTAGAGGATGACTGGCACCCTGGGTTCCAAGCAACAGAAACCTTAACAGGTACAAAGTGAGAGCAAAACAGGAGGCTCAGCGTCTGCTCAGGCAGTCATCAGCAAGGCCCATGGGGACCGTATCCTGAGTTGACCAGGCTGCCTTGGTGAATGCCGACCAGTTCTTACAACTGTCAAGCATCAGTTGAGTGGGACTTGGGCATGTCACATACCTGGAACGGCTGAAGAGTGCACAAGCACACATATGAAACTGCCCTGCAAAGGCCATATACACCTGAACCCTATGAAGCCCTTCTGATTAGAGTATGTAGGGAATATGGGGTCAAGAGCCATGGGAATGGAAGTGACAGATCCAGGTGGGGCTTCACAGGGCAAATGTTTCCTCAGGGACAGAGGTAAGACACGTGAGATGTCAAACAGGCAATGTGTAGGCCCTTATGAACCCTGTTAAGTTGGACCAGCCATAAATGGCATGGAAAGGCTGGCAGAGAGGCTTGAACCTGGTCTGAGATTCCTTGGGGTACTAAGGACTCCTGCTGGTTCTCAGGGAAGCACTGCAGTCCTATAAACACTAGTCTTTAGATGTTCTGCAGGAGGAGTGGTGCTGTGGACCCAGCTGCTTCCCAGTTCTTCAAGAGAAGACGTAGACCATAGAAGACAGGAGAGCGGGGTGGGCAGAAGCTGAGCACCCTGGGGGTCTGTACCCTCTACTAGCTGTAGGTTTGAAAGTTTTCATAATAAAGGGGCTTTAAAAAGCACATCAGGAATGGCAAAAAAGATAAGGACAGCCCCAGTAGGTAGTGAGAGGAGAGGAGAAAAAGTCTCTGTGATCCAGTGAGGATAGAGCAGGAGCCAGGAACCCTCACCCCATGGGACTGGCACCAGGAGAAGCCTTGTGAGGAGCAGGCTGGGAGGGTGTCGGTCAGGGCAAGGCAGTGGGGACTGGATTAGATGGAGGGTTGAGCCTTTTTTTGGTATTAGATGAGGTAGTGGGCACAATCCTTTTGTGTTTTCCCATGTTTATGAAATTAAAATTTGAAAGTACTTTAGCAAAGCTAAAAGAGCATGCACTCTGACGGGGCAGGGTGGGGGCAGGGCAGCTGCTTCAGGCCAGTACCACTGCCTGCCCAGCCATGTGGTAGGACCTGCTAGTAAGTGGGCAGACACATGGGGTACAGATGTCAGCACAGCAGTCCAGGGACAAAGGGCTAGCTCTAGACAAGTGTGCTTCCTGAGGCTAGGAATGTGAGAAAGTCCCTGCACTGAAGGGAGGTGACTGATGTGGGGAATGGGCATTGGAGGATAACTGGGGCTTGGGTTCCAAGCAAAAGAAACTGTAATAGGTACAAAGTCAGCAAAAAAGCAGAGACTGGAGGACACAGGCCAGTGGTGATTAGCAGAGACCTAGCAGAGCTATCCTTCCCTCTCATCTTTCTTTCCCTGAAGTCATGAGATTGGAGCCAGCCTTACTGAGACTTGTCTTCCCCATGCTGCTGTCTTTGCAAAGCTCACACAGACTACCCTCCAGGCCCAGCACTGTTAGCAGGCTGCATCAGCACACCACAACAGAAGAGGGACAGGCCTGCCATTATTGTCCATGTACTTTCAGGCCAGACCACAGGAGTTGCAGCTGCAGTGCTTGCAGGCCTGCCTGGGCCCTGCAGCTGACATTCTCTTCTGTTTTCAGGTGCACCTGAGAGCTGTTCAGAAGACACTTGTCAGAACGGAGGCACCTGTGTGCCAGGTACCAATGCCCACAGCTGTGACTGCAGGCCTGGGTTCAAAGGCAGGCGCTGTGAGCTTGGTGAGTCAGGGCTGGCTACTGTGCTGGGTATTGGCCTTGTCATGGCAGTTGTCATGATGGCCTAGGACTCAGCCCTGGGATGCTGGGCACACAAGTTGGTTTGTCCCAAGGGTTTCCAATCTTTGAGGTAATAGGACAGGGGCCTAAGATAGCCCAGGTAGAAAGGGTGGTAAATGTAGAGCCTCAGAGATGAGGCATGAACCACAGAGGACCATCGGGCTGCCCAAAGCACTGGATGAAAGGCGCTGCCCGTAACAGAGCCTGAGACATCAAGATGGGCCACCACTGCAAGGTAAGGGGCCAGAGTGGTGGTGAGGGGCAATGGATTTTATGGGAGGGACACGGGCTCACTAAGAACACATTTGGGGAGCTGGAGAGATGGCTCAGCAGTTACGAACACTGGCTGTTCTTGGAGAAGACCTGGGTTGGAATCCCAGCACTCACATGGCAGCTAACAACTGTCCATAACTCCAGTTCCAACAGCTGGGGGATCCGATAGCTTCTTCTGTCCTCTGCGGGCATTGCATGACACGGGTGCCCTTACCTACATGCAAGCAATACACACATACACATAAAAATAATAAATAATAGCTGAGTATGGTGGTGCACGCCCTTAATCCTAACACTTGGGAGGCAGAGGCAGGTGGATCTCTGTGAGTTCAAGGTCAGCCTGGTCTCCATAGTGAATCCAGGCCAGCTGTGACTACAGGGAGACCCTATCTCAAAAAGCCCAAATAATAATAATAATAATAAAATAATAATAATAATAATATTAAAAAACACATTTGGAGGCTGGAAATGGCTCGGCAGTTAACAACACTGGTTGCTCTTCCAGAGGACCCAGGTTCAGTTCCCAGCACACACATGGCAGCTAACAACCACATGTAACTCCAATTCCAGAGACTCTGACGCCCTCTTCTGGGCTCAGCATGCTCTGCATTCCTGTGGTCCACTTAATCCATGCAGTCAAAACACTCATACACATAAAATACAATTTTAATTTTTTTTTTTAAAAGAAGAGCACATTTGGGCCAAGTACCACAGTCACCAAATAACCCTGAAGCCACAATAGCCTTAAGGGAACCCAGCCTGTAGACTACAAGGCCAGCCAGAGCCACTCCTGCCGTACTCAGCACCCTGGGACAAGGGCCCAAGAACAGGAAGTAGCTGACACAGACCCCCAGGCCCACACAGGCTACAGGAGTCTCCCTTGGGAAGGGGCTCTCTTGAGAGGCAGAAAGAGCACCTTGTCCTAAGCAATGGCCCTTCTCCTTTGTGCCACAGCCTGTGAAAAGGTGCCCCGACCCTGCACACGGCTGTTCTCTGAGACGAAGTCCTTTCCTGTCTGGGAGGGAGATGTCTGCCACCATGTGTAAGTCAGCTCCATCTCCACCTTTGTGCCCTTGTGTGTTTTCTTGCTACTTAAGAAGCGATAAGCTGGGCGTGGTGGCATGCGCCTGTAGTCCCAGCACTTGGGAGGCAGAAGCAGGCGGATCTCTGTGAGTTCAAGGCCAGCCTGGTCGACATAGTGAGTTCTAGGAGAGCTGGGGCTACAGGGAGACCCTGCTTCAAAAAGACAGGAAAAAAAAAAAAAAGGAGGGATAGAGACAACAGAAAGCACAGGCCTTGACTACTTCTGACATGCTCAACCCATGCATCTCAGGAGCTAGTGAAGAGCACAGGACAACTCCCATACCTGGGAGCCTACTCAGTTCCAGGACCTAACCTTCCTCTTTTCCTTAGAGCCCAAGAAATCAAACCGCACATGAAAATGGTCCCAGTTCTACCATTAACCCATCCATGGTGTGGCCTTGGGCAAGTCACCCCTGTCTCAGTTTCCCATCTGGGCCGGGAGGGAGGACTTCCTATCTCATCTCTTGAGACTCTACTTGCTATAACATTCAGTGACTCTGGGTCACACAATCTAACCCACACACCTCTGAGTGCCTGCTGTGTGCCATGCTATTTCAGACACATGGTACACATCAAAGCTGGATGTTCACATTCTAGATGAAGGTCAACCATAACAAAAGCATGTCTGCTGCGTAGAAGAAGCAGTAAGTGCCCAGGAAAGAAGGGAGAGCAGAAGGCATGAGGCTAGAAGAGCCAGGGATGGAGGGGACAGGGTGCTGAGGGTAGGTCTCATGGAAGAGGGACACTGAACAGACATGGAGGAGGTGGGAACATGAGAGGGAAGATATGCATAATGTTGTACCAACATGTCTGAGGAACACCAGAGGCCAATGGGGGGTAAGGAAGAGTGGTATGACGGCAGAGGACGAGTCCCTTGGAGACCCCAGAAGGGCTATGGCACTTTGTTCTCTGTGAATCATGGGGATCCTGAAGGACTCTGAGAAGAGAGTGATGTGTGACCACACTGCATGGAGCACTGTGGGTGCTCCAAGAAGGGAAGATGGAGGACAGAATGGAGACACCAGTGCAGGAAGTTTATCTGAGCCTGACACAAAGCCAGGCTTGGAGCAGGAATGCCTAGGAGGTCCTAGTCCATAGAGGGTCGGGAAGGCCACCTTGACCTGGATCCACAATGGCAGTCTGTTACCCGCACAGTCCTCCAGCTTCCAACTATCCTGGTTACACCAGAGCCTGCCTCTGGGTCAGATGCCCAGTGGCAGATGAGGAGACCTTCACTCACAAGTGTTCTACCCTGTTCTTGGAACCTACCTGCACCTTTGAAGAGATTTTCTTGTATCTAGCACATAGGTGGGTCCTGCTGATACCCAACCTGACCTTTCCACTGGAGTGCTTAGATCATTTGCACCCCACTTAGCACACCAGCTGGTGTGACCGCCATGTTGCCGTTTGTTTCCTACTTATCCCACCTGCTCCTTGCTTTCTCTTCTTTCCAGGTTGATTTTGGATGACTGGCTTATTGATTATGCTCCTTTAGTTCTGTCTGGTAGTCATTCTATGATTTACATTACAAATCCTCAACACCTCAGTCTACTTGAAGTACTAACAAGCAATTTCAGTATTTGTTCTAGCATATTTCTACCTCACCTTTTGAATCATCGTCAGACTTCTACATGCTATAAATGGCACAATACGTCCGTGAAGCTTTCCTCTGCATGCTGGAAGTCTTGTGTCTACTACGCATCTACCATTTCCAGTGCTCCTCACCCCTTTGTGTAGATGTAAGATTCTGACATCGTTGCTTTTGCCTGGACTCTTGACCCCTTTGTGTGGATCTAAGATCCTATCTGACATCGTTTGCCTTTGCTTGGAAAACTTACTGGACATTTCTGAGCACACAGATCTTTGATAGTTCTCTGCTTTTGTCTGTCTGAAAAGTTTTTACTTATTTACGCTTCACTTTTGGAATCAATATTTACTAAACAGGATTATTGGTGGACAGTGTGATTTTTCTTTTAGCACTTTGTACTGGAATCTTCATCACTGTGACAAAGGACTTATTTTGGCTCACAGTTGCAGAGCTTTCAGTACATCGTTGGGAGGGCATGGCAAAGTAGAACAGAGAGGAAGCAAGGAATGGCTGTGCTAGCTGGCCTTCTCCTTTGTCCACTTTTACTCCATCCAGGCCCCTAGAATGTGGGATGACACTATCCACATGCATGCCAGCTTTCCTCTTAGAGCTGTCTGGAAATGCCCTCACAGTTACGGAGGTGCTTCTCAGCGCCATCAAGCTGACAAGATTGACCCTCCCAGCATCCCTCTGTATCTGGCTTCACAGCCCTCCCCATCCAGTGCTTTTCTATTTCCTCTTTATTGCTGCTTCCAGTCAACTTGATCTTAGTGGGCTTGCGTATCAGTTTTTATTTCTCTGGAATTCATTAATCTTGCACTTGTGGAGTTTTAGCTTTTGTCACATTTGAAACATTTGGGCCATTGTTCATATTTTGGTTCCTCCATTTCTCTTCTAGAGCTCAATTATGAATATACGTGACCAATACTGTTCCACAGGTCACTGTACCTTTTTGCTGTTTTGAAGTGTTGGAAATGGTAGACATGTCTATACTTCCTGTTGAACAATTTGTATCGATGTATGTTCAAGGCCACAGACCTTTTCCTCTACATCATCTAGTCTGTTATTAATCCTATTCAACAAAATGCCATTTCACATACTTTCCTTTTTCCTTTTGAGACAGGGTCTCCCTGTAGCCCCAGCTAGCCTGGAACTCACATGTAGACCAGGCCTGCCTCTGCCTCCCGAGGGCTGAGACTAAAGGAAAGCCACCACCATGATACTTTTTGATGGTTGTCTGATTTGTTTGTTTTTGCAGTGTTAAAGAACAACCTGGGGCTTTCTACATGCAAGACAAGTGCTCTACCACTAAGCTGCATCCCCAGATCAGATACTGTGTCTTACCATCTCTAGGAGTTCTAATTCTTCTGACCAACCATTTGTCCGTGTTCATATTCTCCTTTAGATCGTCAAACATGTGGAACAAATGCATGATAAATGTTTTTTCATGTCCTTGCTCTCGTTTCTGAATCATTTCCTACTCAATTATTTTTCTCCAGGTTATGTATTACACAGGGTTTTTATATTTGTGTTGAGTTTTATTTTTTGGTTCTACATATGATTCTTTGAATGCTTTTTAATTTACTGGTTGCTAAAATTAATTTTTTTTTCTTTTGGTCTTTTTGAGACAGGGTCTCCCTGTAGCCCCAGCTGGCCAGGAACTCACTATGTAGACCAGGCTGGCCTCCAACTCACAGAGATCTGCCTGCCTCTGCCTCCCAAGTGCTGGGACTATAGGCGTGTGCCACCACGCCTGGCTCCATTATATTTTTATCCTATCCTTTTGAGGCTGTAGGCTAGCTTTAGAGTAGCCCTCATCTGGGACTAATTTCCTCCCCTTTATGGCATTGCCTTCCTGGAGTCTCTGGATGACCTGTCATCACACAAGATTTCACCATTCTTCGCACCCACCCTGTGCATGCACAGCTCACCTTTCATCACACACTTACAGGCCTCTGCCTCCCCAAATCCAGCCTGTTTCCTGGACTCTGTAAGCACTGCCTCTCCCTCTTTCTGTGCTGACTTCAAAAAGTGCTCCAGGCTGAACTCCAGGGAGACAGTGCTATCTCCTGTCCCTCTCTTCTCAAGGACAGTGTTTCTCTGGGCTGCTATTCTCCAGTGTCTGAAAATAATTACTTCCTCTATCTTGTCCAGTTCTGATTGTTGACACAGAAAGTTAATTCCAGATCCTTTACTCCCTCACAGCTAGAAGTCTTCCCAAACCTTCCTCCCAAACTAGTGTGCAGGAACTTTGCCATCATACCTCTGACACTGAGCTCTGACAGGCTGGAACACCCTCCTGTTCCTACTAAGTCACGTGGGAAAGGTGGTACGCGTAGACCCCACTTTACATGAAACAGACTTGGAAGTTAGAGAAGCCTACCAGTGTAGCCCAGTTAATAAATGGAAGGGGCAAGCTCAATCAGCCTCCTGCTTCATACTGCCCACCATTTCGGCTTTCAGCCCCAGGCTTCAGCACTGTGTTCTTGAAATACTCATAAAAGAGAAGAGTGGGTTCAACCTTCCCAAGACCGTGGACCCAGTGGCCTGTCTCCAGCAAAGTGCTATTACTGAAATGTCAGTGTGCCTTTTAATATCATGACATCATCAGCATTCATTAAAATGCATTCTGAAATGGATACTTTTTATGTTATACTCAGTAAAGTTAATTTTTTAAGTCACAGGACTTTTATTTTGGACATTTCATGCACCCTCAGGAAGTAACACTGTATTACAAAAATAATGCTCTTTTCCTCAAATACCTCTACATGTGGTCACACAGCCTAGGTCATGCAGCTGGACACCATCTACCGTGGTATGTGACTTCACAGAGTTTTCTTGTGACAACAGGTATAAGAAAGTCTACAAAGTTCACCAGGACATCTGCTTTAAAGAGCGCTGTGAAAGTACAAGCCTCAAGAAACCCCAAACAGGTGCATCTTAGGAGGCCAGGAAGTATCCTGCATGCTGTCCTGTGGGGTCATGGGAGGTGTCCTGCATGCTGTCCTGTGGGGTGATAGGTGACAGGGCTGGATCAAGCCAAGCTGCTTGAAAAGAAACGTAGCCCCTGTGCAGCTATACTGTGCTCAGCAACTGTGCTCCTACATATGTGAGCACAGACAGGCACAGCTGTCTGGAGGTGGTTACTCCGATCTTGCACAGACTGTGGCGCTGTGATAGGGCAAAACAGGATGCTGTTGACAGGCCCAAGTTTGTAACCACATGATTAGAAAAATCTTTTTACCTTTCATTTACTCACACCCAGGCTCTTTCCCCTAGATCAAAGTAGTCATAAGAATTACTGTCTAGGGTTTTACTGAAAGCTGTGGCTGAGAACATTACGTGCTTCCACGAGAGTCCACACTTTTAAGTGTGTTCTCTGCGGACCAACTGTAGCCACACATCGTTGCCCTGCATGACTGAGTGTACAGAAAGGCTGCAGCATGAACTCACCAATAGCCCGGCTTGACCTAAGTGTGTTGCTATCTCCCAAAGTAGCTCTTGCTTGTTTCCTTCCCTCCCAGGTCTCCATAGGACATATTTTGCCAGGGCGCTTTCTGCTCATTCCACAGCCACTACCTTAAGCTAGTATGGGCAGGTTCCCTGTCGGTCTGTGTGTCCCCCTTGCTAGAACATATGTAAGCAACAGCTAGGGTTGACTGAGGTATAGAGCTCCAAGTACATGAAACATTCTCATTAAACTAGTTTTCTTAATTATTTCAGGAAACAAAGTAACAGTCAAACACTGAAGAAATCTTAAGGTACATCCCTGTCCACCCCAAGAGTTGTTGCGAAGCAGGAGACCGGGTCTCACCTAGCACTGGGCCCTGAGCATTGAGCTCCTTATCAGGCAGTGCTGTAGCAAACTCAGCAGTGTGCTATATCAAACCCAACCAGGAAGGTTCCAGAATTTCCTATCTACAGCCTTCTAATAGATATAACTGGTCTGTTCTTGCAGACAAATTTGCTTTCAGGTAGAAATGAGGCCCTCTGGGGGTAGGGGTGACTTCCACAGACCAGCTGCAGTGGGGGGCTGCTGAGAGAGACATGAGAATCAGCTGGCACCTGGAGGACAGTGGGCCTAGGTGGTAGAAAAGTCAATGCCAAGAAACTCTGGGGGTGCCACAAAGAACCTAAGGGAGTACCTCCAAGCCCCGTGAATGGCATTCCACTGGAAGAATGGGGTGGGGGCCTTGGTCATGTAGCATTCAGTTGGTCCTAAAATACAGCCTCTCACTATGAGTTCCAATAGATGCTGAAATGCTAAGCATCAGGAACATTGAAATAAAAGAAACTGTGCCTGTCTGATCCAGCACCACCCCAGCCACCTCCCCATACATAAATGCCCTTGAATACTAAAGGGCATTGTTTTTTTTCCACAACAGTTTGTAAAACACTGGGTTACGCTGTAGAAATCCCTATACAGCCCGAACCCAGCCCCGCACTGACTTCTGACTGATGTGACATCATTGGGAATGACAGACCAGTTGGCGGAAGATAATTTCCTCCTCTCTGGAGCTTCAATGAGCCTGAACAGCACATTTTCCCAGTGGTGCAACAGAGGGAGGCACCTGGCAACCAGTCATACCAGGAGTGGACCAACTTTTTCTTCTAGAGCAGAAAACATGAAAGAGAAATGTCACCCAAAGGCCTAAGAACAACTAGCAGCAAAGGAATTCCAAGCGAGGCTCATCCCAAGAGTGTGTCCACAGTGACAGGAAAGGCATCACTGCCACTGGAGCCCAGAGGACATCCAAAGAGCAGACTCCCAGAGGGGCCCATTCAAGACAGCATATGCACCCAACTATTTCAGATGTGAAAACTGCATGATTGGCAGCTGATAACACTCAGTTCCTGTCCACTCAAGAGCATCACCTCCCCTTTACCTCAGTCTCCAAGAATGCACACAGAATACCCCTCGACATTTGTGAGCAGTAGAATTCTGGCAAAGAATTTGCACATTATTTGGGTTCGAAATATTTAAATGGCAATAGGTTGCTTGAAATACTAACGTATCTTTTAAAAACTCACCCAGCAAATTCAATTCCATACAAACAAATAAGAAACTGCCAACTTCTTATCAGATAACTGGCTTACAGTGCACTTATTCTCAGAGCAGTGGGGAAAGCAATGAGGAAACAGACACACCACTCAGACACCCACCCACACAGGAATAGTGCCAAAACTGGCTTCCATCCACAGCAGCCCTGGAGAAAAAGCCATGTCATCACCAAGCAAGACAGAGAGGAGCAGCAGCTTTGATTCTAACTAAGTCACAAGACTGAGCCCAAGTGTCCTCACAGAGGTGCATGTGTCCTCACCCTCTTCCTCCCCTGTACTGTAGCCAGGTTGGAATTCTGGTGCTGTTAAGAACAAATGCAGGTCCTCTGGGGGACAGTGCCGGAGGCCCTCAGAGAAGGCTGTGGCTTCAGTGAGTACACCTGCCACTGTCAGCTCCACGTTCTTCCTTCAAAAGGTTCAAGGTGTGCCCGTTAACACTGACCACCTTGAGAATTTCCAAAACCCAGGAAGATGAGGTCCAAAACTTGGATTGGAAATTACATGAGACAAAATCCTAGGTGTAGTCAGTCCCAAGACCCCTGCCCTCACGTCTCTAGAAAAAACAAAAACAAAAACACAGCCAAATTTGCACACCCAGGGACCCCTCCTAGAAAGGAAGTGAAACGCCTGTGACCTTAACCCAGGCTTATGTTTCCTGGAGCTAGGTGGTACCTCTCTAAGTGAGGAGTGTGCCAGGGTTAGGGTTAGTAAGCTATCAGTGATGCTTCTGTGCCCTTGTTCAAAACCCACCCAATTCTAGTGTCAGAGACAGGAGTGTCCCTTGATCACCAACACATGGAGAAGGAAAGGACTCGGCCTGCTTCCCAGAGATGCAAGGGCCATGTGCAAATAGATGAACTTTGCTCCTCTCACCATTTATACTGATTTAAGGACCAATGCATCTGAAAGAGGAAATGCTAATTACTACTGTAAAGGAATTTAGACACTTTTAGTCAACAATCAGGGATTGGCAGACTATACAAGTTCAGGCCATATTCTGGGCTTTTCAGATGGGATAGCCTCTGTGACAACAACCCAACTCTTATGCTATAATGCAAACATGTCATCAATGCAGAAAAACTTATTTACAAAAACAGGTTGGCAGGTGCCTGGTTTATGAGATGACCTAGACCATGGCCTTCTGTAGAGAAAGCCATGCCATAAATGACAAGTCACCACCAAAACTCAAGACTCCTGGACTCTCATAGAGGAAAAGTTAAAGACCTTTGTTGAGAAAGCTAAGGTACATGCCATAAAGCAGCAAGAGCTCCTCCATTCCCATCTGAAGGCAAGACAGGGGGACACTTGGGGCCAGGCTCCAGGAGACAATGCCCAGGGCTTCTTATAGTCCAGATGGCTGTGGGCAACTAGCAGAAACACACCTTACACAGCTTCATCGCTCCATTCCACACAATACAGCTCTAAGCAGCTCTGCCTTCTCCCTGGAGTGAGGTCAGAACCAGAGAAGACAATACCACCTTTCTCCTGCAGAGCAGAGCTGACCTGACTGGAGATCCAGCACTGAGAATGACATTCCAATCAGGGCCTCCTGCCCTCCATGGTTCATTAAAAACATTCTTTGAGGGTTGGGGATTTAGCTCAGTGGTAAGAGCGCTTGCCTAGCAAGCACAAGGCCCTGGGTTTGGTCCTCGGCTCTGGGGGCGGGGGGGCGGGATACAACATTCTTTGTAGAGTAACCACTTAGGTTTTATTTTTATTAAAAACTTCCTGAGACCTGTGTATTATGCAATTTGTCATTTTTAGGAAGGAGGAGCAGTCATATCAAGAAGTCTACTGGACCTTAGATACACTGCCCAATCTCCAGTGATCCCAACAGTCAAGGGCAGAGCTGAAGAAAAACCTCAGACACCAGGAGACCAGGTCCACAAACATGTACGCTAACTTCCACTGCATCTTCGAGACCTGCCACCATCCCTCCATGTAAGCTACATCATTAGTAGCGAATGGCAAGACCAAGAGACATCACTGGAAAAGTAGATGAGATCTCCGCACTGCACTGACCTCAGGCCCACCAGGCAGATGACATGTTCCTGTTTCCAGCTGTAACCTAGATTTCAACAAGAGCCAGCCTACTGAACGCTAGGTGCGCTATCATACAATTTGCCATTCTGATGGTTCAGAGTGGAAATAAAGACTTCCTGACACTGAGGAATGAGTCTATTGGAAGCACTGCAAGAGAGCTGCCCTGCTTTCTCACATACCTTTCTTAAGCAGACTAGTATCTTCTTTCAAAACAGCCAATGTATCCAGGGAAATAAGTCTTGATGGTATTAAAAAACTGACAAGGCATGAGAATTTTCTGTGTCAAAATGAAAGAAGCGATCACGAGCTGTTGGGCTCACCATTTCCTGGTCAACATTTGGAATGAGCAGACACCCTATCAAGCTTAAGGAGGACAATCAATGTCCTCCATTCAGGGAGTGTGGAATCACTTGGATGCTGCAAGGTGGAAGAGGATGCGGTAAGGAGCAGAGTGACCATCTTCATTTTCAGTTTTATACCAAGGCCACGGAGAACTTTCTAGGAGGCCCCAATCTTCCAAGCCCCTCTGAGCACAAGTACCATCAAACCAGGCCTCTACCTCAGAGCTCTCCTATCCTATTCCCAGTACTTCACACGGCTCCTCACACTCACAAGTGCCCCAGGGTGATGATATCCACACCAGGGTATCTGAGAGCTTTCTGGAACAAACCAAAATCAGATCTGAGCTTGTGCTCTCCTCCTCTGGTCCTTGGAAGCCCATCTTTAGGAGAGATGTCCACCTAAGACCACTCCCTAGCCCTTCAGTGCTGGTTCTCTGAGCCAGCTCACTGACAGTACAGGCTAGAGTCAAAGATACCAGGCCTGGAAGCGGTAACTAGCAGGAGCTGGCATGAAGGCCAACTTGCCCAGGCAGGAAGGGTCAACAACTCACAGGGGAGAAAAGGCCAATGTTCTGCTGGTATGAAAAAGCTGTGCAAAGCTAAAGCACACATTACTAATCAACTGTCTTTCACGCTGCTGTACATTGAATGCAATTAAGAAGCCGTGAGATGATGTTGGGTTAAAAACATGAGTATTTCGTGGGAGACCTGATTCTTGTTTTTATAAAATAAAGTGCTATGACGACATACTAGACCTCACATTTCATTCTCATGACTTACTTCATCTTTATCACTAGAAGGAAATATAAAGTGGCACTTGAAACCCAAAGGTATCCCATTCTTTAAACTGCTATGGAATTAATACCAACATATTTCAACAAAGAAAAAAGACATCAAATTTAGGTGGATTGAGTCCCCTGGATTTTTTTCTGATATTTTATTTCTATTTTATAAGTATGAGTGTATTGCCTGCATGTAGGTAGGTGCACCCGTGTCATGCAATGCCCCTTGAAGTCAGAAGAGGGCATCTGATTCCCTGGAACTGGAGTTACAGATGGTTGTTAGCTGCCATGTGGATGCTGGGAATCAAACCCAGGTCCTCTGCAAGAGTAGCCAGTGCTATTAACTATTGAGTCATCGATTTAGCCTCCAGAGTCCCCTGGATTTTAACAGCTGAGTCTTTTATTTAGGAAGAAGTAGGGCCTTACCCACAACCCCAATAAACCACACGAAGCACCCCTATCAACTTTGGTACATTTCCAGTGATTCATAACTTTTTCATCAAAAGACCAGTGTTAGAATGAAAAATGCTTGAGAAAATCCGGGTGAAGCTCCCCAGAGCTTTGAAAATATGACAATGGTCTCTGACATCCCTGGGCCCTTTTGGCCCCACTCCTCCATCACAGAAGCTTTTCCTCTTCCTCCTCTTCCTCCTCAGATACACGGCTCTCAGGCTCTTGGTCTTCTTCCCGAGCCAAAAGCTTTTTAAAAACCTCAAACTCCTCAGCAGAGGACTGAGCTGTCCTGGCCAAAAACTCAACTTCGGAAACTCTGAGAATGTCCTTGAGTAACGGGTTGGGGATCTGTGTCTGCCCCTTCTTATCAGGAGTTTGGTACCGTCCAAGGCGTTCAAGGTAAATGTGTCTCTGCTTGATCTTGGTTACTGAGTACTGCAAGAACTCGGTCCTAACTATGTCCAGATGCTTAAGTCCCATCCTAAAATATGCATACTAGAAGACACAAACACATTTAGGAATCCTACATATGGAACCTTAAAACCTATCATTGTAATCCAAAACAAACTTAAGTTGTCCAAAAGCATTAAAAAGAATCACCTAATTAGTAATGGCAGAACACTCACTATAATACTGCTGTTTCTATGAAATCAGACAGTTTTTAAAGCATTTTCAAATTCATATTGTGAAAAATACAGCAGAAAACAAAGGGGCAGGAGAGGAAGAGGAAGGGTGCACTTTTCTTTAGACAGGGCAACAAAAACATGAATATAGGGAAAACAGACCCAAAATCCTAAATGTCTAGGAATCTTTTAAAATCAGTGTGTGTGCACATGCACGCGTTTGTGTGCATGTATGTGCTACAGCTTGCAGGTGGAGGTCAGAAGCCAGCATAGCTGGCCCACAAGCTTCCAGGGATTCCCGTTTCTACCTCCCATCTCCCCATAGGAGTGCTGACGCACCACACATCCAAGTTTTACATGGGTTCTGGGGATGACAACTCAGGTCGTCATGTCTGCATAGCAAGTGCTTTATCTAACCAGCCATCTCTTTAGTCCAGTATCTAGGAATCTGACCCAAGTTGTCAGAATCGTTACTTAAACTATTAGGACAATTGTCATAATTACATTTTCCAAATCTCCATGCAAAAATACATTCTAAGCATAGTAAAGGTTTAGCTTTCTCAATATCGGCTGTCTCAGTTGTACCTAGATCCTAAGAATGGGACCAGGTCATTCATTACTAAGGAAGCAATGCCAAAGAACAGGTTTGCTCTGAAGTAGAGAACCAGAGCTGTATTCTCTTTGACTTCTGTGTACAGGGAGAACATAAGCCTTTTACTTGTCTAATCAGAGGCTTCTTATCCATGGAATTGACCTTACTCCATTTAAAAACTTGAAAATTCTACCATACTAGCCTAATTACTACTTCTCACCTGGAATTTGTATTCCAGTTCACCAGGGTTTTCCTGAAAAACACCAGGACATCTGTGTAAAATCTCCGTAACTTGCTGTATCGTGAACAGGCACTTCTCCTTGAGGACCTTGACAACATCATCAATGTCCCGTTGACGCATGGTAAAAACCTCAGGGCAACCATGAAGCACTCTCTTAAGTTTCCCTGCATAATATTAAGAAAAGAAAGTATGTAACTTCAGGATATTCCAGAAACCCAAGGGCTAAACATTTAAAGACTGGAGAGATGGTGGGTCTTTAAAGGCACTTGCCACTAAGCCTGATAAAACTTGAGTTCAATCCCCAGGGCTCACATGGTAGAAACAGAGAACTGATTTCCACAAGTTGTCTTGTGGCCCCTATATGTACACCATGGTATGCACTCACATACACACTCAAAAAACAAAAACAAAAAGCAAAGAAGGATCCTCTCCCTCCACAGAACTGCTGACTTCATACACACCTATGAAACATCATGGAAATGACTCTTTTCAGAGGCCACCTCATATCCTGCTTTCTCTAGCCTAACATCTAAAGGTGCCAACTTCACATTCTAGGTCTCTTCTTTCCTGCCTTGTGTAGAAAAGAATGTCACACAAGGATTTACTGGAAAAATCAGTAAGATGGGAGAGGAACTGTCTCACTCTAATTAAATAGACTAACACTCTCAAGACCTGGGGGCCTTGACCTCAATAAAAAGGAGTCCTATAACTAATGACAATGGTAAGGGCCATGTCACAAGACTACCATGAAAAGAATACCATGCCACATAATTACAAATATTGACCTGAGGGTGCCCATGTGTTTTATCTAAGGATTTTGAGTGAGGGGCTCTATTAGTAATTATATTCAGACAATTGGTGTAAACTGCGGTTGTACCAAGCAAACTAGGGTAAATGGTCTTTTTATGAACTGATGAGCAAATTTAGTAACTGAAAACTTAAAATCACTTACACTGTTAATTTCCCTAACAGTTCAGTTGGTCACTCTTACTAATGCAATGCGAGACTTCCAAAGCGTAGGCTCTATTTTCATCTTTCAAGCTGTATTTTATGTACTAAGCTTAAGCTTAGATGATATTGTAAGAGACAATCCATCAAGAAGAATGTGTGTCTATCTTTTTTGATTATCTTCTAGAGAAAAAGGCCTACAGAGTCCAAACATAGTGGGCTCTAAGCCTTTCTACCCCTCAAAGAAAAAAAAATCTGGGGCTGGAAAAATGGCTCAGCAGTTAGAGCACTGGTTGTTCTTGCAGAAGACCCAGGTTCGAATCCCAGCACCCACATGGCAGCTAAAAACTGTCAGTAACTCCAGTCTCAGGGGATCCAACAGCCTCTTCTGACCTCCCAGGGCATCGCATGACCCCGGTGCACTTACCTACATGCAGGCAATACACACATACACATAAAAAAAATAAAAATAATAAATTTAAAAAAAGAAAAAGAAAAAAAAAATCTTACCAGAAAGAGTAAATAATAGAGGAACTCCTCTGGTCAAATGGGTAGAGGTCCCTAGCAATCGCCATCTCTCTTCTCCACATGATCCCTAAAGAGACCCAAGGAACTCCAAAACTTCCTGATGTGTGTTAACTGTTGGGAGAAAGAGGCACCCTACAGAAAGGAGGCACTCTACCAGCTTCTCAGGAACCTGCATTGCCCAGTCTAAATTTCTGTAAGAAATATTTTCCTATCAGCAGTTACACATAAGCATAACACATATGCCACTACCACACAGCAACACTTACCCACCAAACACAGACTGTGTCCCTCTAATCTGGGAGCTAGAGACCTCAATGAACATACCACATGTGACTTGGTCTTGGTTGTCTCTTCTAGAACTAAATCTTCCCACATCCCTTGGGCAATGCCTTCTGCAGAGGACCCACCACACAACTCCTCTGGGACACTGGTCTCCCCTCAGAAAACTTCCCTAGCCCACTACACCTCACTGTGTCCCATGAGCCACATGCATGCCAGGATAGATATGGATGTGGCCCAACACATATGTAAATGACAATGTCATGTCACAGTATAATCTGTTTCTTCTTGTACCTTCTCCAAGGCCAAGCTTTCGAAGGTAATTAGAACGCCTCTTCATTTGCACGGGAGTCAGTTTCAGTAACTGGGGACTTTTCTTTAAGGCTGTATACACAGGGTCTGGGTTCAAACCCAAGAGAATAAATTCTGAAATGATGTCCAACAACTGTTGAGGGTGGGCACCTGGCTGTATACTGAGCAATTCCTTAATGTGGGCATCACTAAAGCCCATGTCCAGGAGAGAACTGATGACCTTCTCTAGCTCCAAGGATTCAGAATCCATGCGAGTCCTCTGCTTCTCCTGGAGGTTCTGAACAAAATGTGTACTGTACTCTAGTTCCTGCACATACTTTTTGGGTCTAACACAGAACAACACCTCAAGGCCCCCTCCATTGGGCACAGTAGTCATTTTACACAGCAAAGAAGCAGTCATCCTTTTCTGTTCTCTAAGATGAGGAGTCCGCCTAGCCAAACAGGTCCAGGTGAGGGCAATTAGGTGGTGCCAATCAGGGGCCTAGAAAGAATCAAAACAGAATCAGTTCCATTTCAGGATGATGAATACCATAAGATTTCTAAGCCTGAGTATTTAGTACCCTGGTCTCTTTCTAAGCCTGGTGGGTATTTAGTACCTTGGTCTCACAAAAGCATTGATTTTTTTTTTTTCAGAAGCAATCTGCAAAACCTTATCTGGACTTAAAAAGTCTCCAAAGAAGTAAAGTTAGCATACAGAGAAGGCACTTAACGCAAATGCAGACATGGGGGTCAGGCACGAGCAGTACTGTCAGCTTTATGCTGGAGTGGCAGCCGAAGATCACAGACCAGCCCCAGGTTTACTAACAAAACTCATTCCAACAAAGATAACACTCAAGGCCCCTTCCACTGAAAAAACATTACTGGAGACAAGATGCCTCACACTCTGTATACAGCTGGCCTCGATGTTCCGGGCCAGCACGTAACAAATAAAGCACAAATCATACGAACTCGCACATGGGTTCCCGAATCCCCTCCAGTGTGGCCCGCCGACCCCCATTCTCCCCTCACCACCCCCGGGCCGTGAAACCCACCAGTCGGCCCAGGGCAGCCATGGCGTCCTATCAGCAGCGGACGGAACTGCGGCACCGGAAGTCGTGGTCTTCCAGGCCCTGTCGCTTCCGGGCCGGTCCGTGGCCCGCCGCACTCTCAGGGACACCGCGCGACCGTTCCGCTCCCAGCCCCGGACCCGAGGCTCAGGCTCGCAGCGCGCGCACACACACACACACACACACACACACACACACACACACACGCCCCCCCCAGTGACCCACTTCCTTCAGCTACACCCCCCTCCCCGCAACCTACCAAAGCACAGCAGCCAGCTGGGGACCAAGTGATCAAACACATGAGAGAGACTGTGGGGGACATGTCACATTCAAACCACAATATCCTGCCCATGGGCTCATGGCCAGCTCATAATACAAATGCATTCATTTCAATTTCAAAAGTTCCTATAGTTTTATAATTTCAGCTCTGGACAAAGTGAAAAGTCCAGAGCCTCTAAACTGTGAACTCTGGTAAAATAAAATATATAAGCAAATACTATATGT